AAAAAAAATAGCCAGTATGCAATGATGGTGGTAATTGTCATTCCTGGTCTGCCATACGGCCTCAGAGGCAACATGGGACCAGCAAAGCGATCGGGCAAATATTAATGTGTAAAAACTGAAAAGGGAAAATCTCTTCATTTGAACCTGTGGCTTTCCGAAACCCCTCACATTGTCCCTTTTTTTTTTTTTAAAGGTTTTATTCATTTTAAATGGTGATCCATATATAAATACCTGATGTGAAATGAAAGCCATTTTTACAAAATGATATACAATAAGTGTGGGTGCACTTAATATGAAGGTGGTGAATTATGGTTGAAAAGAAATATAGCTCGAATTCTAGGTTTTGTTTTAGTCAGCCTTTGTCCATAAAAGGGTTAAACTGGAGATCATGTTTAGCTCAGATTGTATTCTCCCTTTAACTTCTACCTATAAATAAACAGATTAGGTGGCAGCCACACAGAGAGGACAAGAGTTCTTTAACCCCTTAAGGACACAACTTCTGGAATAAAAGGGAATCATGATGGAATATTTCTGTCATGTGTCCTTGAGGGGTTAAAGGGAAACTCCACTGCCCTCCCTCAACAAAAATTACTGCTAAGCAGGTACACCCCAAAATAAAATGAGCAAAACATGCAGTTTTCTTGTCTGCTGTGTTGACAAGCCATTCCCTAATAATCCAGAAGAAAAGCAACAAACCTCAGTTATATTGTATATGGGATATTTTCTTTTTAAAGCTAAAAGTCCAAATTAAATGAAAGTAAAACAACTGAAAAAAAGAGAAGAATATATGTGAACATTTCAGGATGACTACAAAAACATCACCAGTAAAAAAAAAAAAAAAAAAAAAAGGTGACTTGCAAATTATTTGGGAGTTATACTAAATCAGAAATTTGAAAAATCCCATTAAGAAATTGGCAATTTTCAGGACAAAATAGTCAAGCTGGGAACAGCACTGGGTTGGAGAATATTTTAAAATCAGCTATTTTGACATTCATTCACAGTTTAGTGGTTAAGCCTCCATTGTGTAGATTGTCTGGAATACTGAGACATACAGCAACAGAACATCTGTAGACTGCTTTATAATGCAATATATTCATATACAAGGTACACAAGAGTGACATCTACTGTTCAAGCAAGTTAGATATATTATGATGCAATCTGCCATAGATTTGGAGGAGGAGTTAAAAATGAAACCGGAGAAATGCAAATCAGTACACATCTGCTTGAGTGTGCTTTTGTATACAACAAACAAAAGCAACAGAAGTATATTTGTAGGAAACGTGAACTGTGCTTTTTATTGCAAAATTATTCTGCCTTAAAAATTAAAAACACAAAAACATTCATTAAGAAAAACCAAAATTGCACCTAATAAAACAATGCATAATATGTCCTCCTCATTAAGAGGCACAGATTGCAGGACTTGCAATATCCACACTTATTCAACCTTCATTGAGCAAACATAGAAATAATTATGTGGACAGAAAACAAATTCAGTTAAAATGCACCATCAGTTTCAAAAGATAACATCCAGAGAGGGAGAATGTTAAAATAGTGCAAGAAGGAAGTCCACACCTAAGCCATCATGTTCAACATATTGTTCTTCCACTCATTCAGCTAATGTATAAATTTACATTTTGTATGAGTGAATATAAATTCAACAGTTTAATGAGTTTAGTAGAGTGCAGTGCAAGCTATTGTAAATATTCAGGTATAGCAGTTATAATTAAGAATTCTAGAAATAAACTGTTTCAAAGAAAGGGTTATTAAATATGGTCCCTTTGGGTGTCTGCTGGATAGTTAGTGTGGTTCCGGCCTCTCACTGTACAATTTAACTGGGGGTAATTCAGAACACACATTGCAAGGCACCCACTTCAAGCATCATTCTTTAACACCCCAACATAACTCCCATAAACACCCCAAGGCGTTATACATTAACCATTCCCAACATCACCCCAAAATTTCAAACAGTAAACCCCCCATAATCACCCAAAGGCTTCACACCGTATCCCCCCCCCCATCATAATTACCCCAAAGGCTTCACACCGTATCCCCCCCCATCATAATTACCCCAAAGGCTTCACACCGTATCCCCCCCCATCATAATTACCCCAAAGGCTTCACACCGTATCCCCC